ATTTTTCTAATTTGGCGCAGTCGTCGGTGTTATTGCACGCGCCCTTAAATGGTTCGCCCAATTTTTTCTCCTTGCTGTTACTCGCCTGGACCATGATCAGTGCCCCGTACAGCACCGCCATCGCCATGGTCATTAGTAAAATGTGCCTGTTCATTATGATTCACTCGGCTACCAGCTGAGTTTATCGTCCTGGTACTTTGCACCTACACAGGATTTTAATGAATTGGCAAATTTAATTTAGGCTAGATTTATGAATTTAATAATGGCGATATATAACTTACTTGCTATCCACACATGGAGAGTGTGTTGTTTGTCGCACTTTTTTACAACATATGGTCAATTTTGATTCACATATAAATGAAATGTATTATTAATGTTTAAAATATACAGATTTTTATTTATAAGTTAGAGAAAGACATAATTTTAACAACAGTTTTACTAATATAATAATATGCTTATATATAATTGTTAATTTTATTTTTAAAATTTTAAAATTTTGTCCTAACCATCTCTATTGTTAAGTTATAAGGTTGAAATAAAATTAGTTCAATTCAATGGTTAATAATTTTACAATTTACTATTTAATAAAATATACATATTTTTATTTATAAGTTAGAGAAAGACATAATTTTATTAACAGTTTTACTCATATAATAAAGTGCTTATAGCCATAGTATATAATTGTTAATTTTATTTTTTAAATTTTTAAATTTTTGTCTTAAACATCTTGATTGTTAAGTTATATGTTTGAGATTAAAATAGTTCAATCCAATAGTTAATAATTTTACAATTTATTATTAAATTAAAATTTTATTAAACACAAACTTTTATAATAAAATATAAAAAATAACATTTAATGTTATTAGCAAACATTTAGTGTGTACTACAAATATAATAATTATCATTTAAATCAGTCATGATAATTAAAAATATATCAACATTAGCTAAGGTTTAACTGGTTTGAAACATTTGCCCTGGTGACATATTCTCCCTTTGTGCTGTTTGAATGGATTCCATTTATGTTTTATGCAATCTTTATTGCTTGTGCATTCCGGGCGCTTTTCAACTACAATAGCTATTATCTTTACGTCTTTTGTAGAAGTAGCATGGCCAATTAATGCCACGCATACCACCACCATCAACAACAATGTCGCTCGATTCATCTTAAATAAATAGTAGATTTATTAAATTGCAATAAACTATCTATTCACTTACCTTTCACTTTGACTATAGCTTATGGTCTGGTAGTTATACAAAACTTTTATATATTGTATGATTTTATTAGTTTAATTAAATGTTTTCAGTGTAAATGTAAACTTATTATAACATTAATTAACGCCTATTAAATAAATAAAATTATTTAACTAAACTCTGTATAATCTTAGGGAGTTTATCGCCTTGGTACTTTGCACCAATACCGGAATTTAATGAATTGGCAAATTTAATTTAGGCTAGATTTATGAATTTAATAATGGCGATATATAACTTACGTTTGTATATTGCAATACACACAAAGGGGAGTGTGTTGTTTGTCGCACTTTTACAACATATGGTCAATTTTGATTCACATATCAATGAAATGTATTATTAATGCTTAAAATATACAGATTTTAATTTATAAGTTAGAGAAAGACATGATCAGCGACTTCCACAGGTTGCACTCATGTTGCATTCGCGCCTTTTTATGTGCGAGGGTGTACTGTATAATTATTATCAACCAATTACTAATAGCAAAAATAATGAAACTTCAGCTATTAACCANGCAAAAATAATGAAACTTCAGCTATTAACCAAAGTTAAACTATGAATTACCATAATTAAACATTACAATACGTCCTATTGACTAAAAATATGTAACCTGGATGTCCCTGGACATGATTTTATTATTTTAACAACAGTTTTACTCATATAATAAAGTGCTTATAGCCATAGTATATAATTATAGATCTGCAATGTTTTAAAATTCATATTATGCGCCAATTTTAAAGTCAATCAAACAGTGTAAACTGATACAATGGCCAATCAACATTAAGGGAGAAAGTATTTTTGCAACATTGCAGATTGAAATATATAATTGTTAATTTTATTTTTAAATATTTTTAATTATTGTCCTAAACATCTCTATTGCTAAGTTATATGTTTGAGATAAAATTAGTTCAATTCAATGGTTAATAATTTTACAATTTACAATTAAATAAAAATTTTATTAAACATAAACTTTTATAATAAAATACAATAAATAACATTTAATGTGTAATTTAAAAACATTTAGTGTGTACTCAAAATATAACAATTATCATTGAAACTAGTCATGATAATTTAAATCATATCAACAATAACTAAGTTTCTTTAAAACATTTGCCCTCGTGGCATATTCTCTCTTTGTCATCGTGATGTTTGTGATGTTTGCGATGTTTGCGTAGCCTCCACTTTGCAAACAAGTTCACATGCTTTTTGCAATCTTCATTGCTTGTGCACTGCGGGTTCTCTTCTTTTTCAATTGTAATGGTTATTTTCTTGATGTCTCCTGTAGAAGTAACATGGCCAATTAATGCCACGCATACCACCACCATCAACAAAAGTGTCGCGCGATTCATCTTAAATAAATAGTAGATTTATATTCAATTGCAATAAACTATCTATTCATTTACCTTTCACTTTCACTCCAGTTTATGGTTTGCTGGTTATATAAAACTTTCATATATTATATGATTTTATTAGCATTTTTAAATGTCTTCTGTGTAAATGTAAATTTAATATAAAATTAATAAACGCCCAATGCACCAGTAAATTTATTTAACCAAACTTTATATAATCTATGTTAATATTTTTGTAATATAATTGAATTAGTTAATGACGTATATTATTAAATAATATTAAACAATCTTAATAATAAATAATATTGTTAGTTTTTGCTAGACAATATAATAAATTATTATACATCAAGTATAATAAACTGAAAATTCATTTTAGTTGTTCACTGTAATTTAAAACCAATCTTAAAAACCTATGGTTAGTTTTATTTCATTATAAAAGTGCCCATATTCATAATAAGCTAATGAATAGATTGTGAAAGTAAAAATATTAAATTAAAACTTATGATATGTGTGCCATTTAATAATTATTCTAATAATGTAAAATATAATTTTAAAATTACAAAATATAGTTAAATATATTTAGTAACTTAAACAATGAACAATAAAATATTCTGGCATATGAGTAGTCATGGAAATGCAAATACATTTAATGAATAACATATTTATGTGTGGTTATAAGTTAGATAAAAAATACAATATTTTCTAAATAAATGTATTTACTAGTATATTTTTGTGTAGAAGGTTACAATTACTATAGACATTATTTAAAATAGTTTTTAGTATATTTAATAAGACATTCAATTATATTAATTGTGTTTTAAGGCCCTGCATATGGTAGTGTAAAGATGTCATTAAAAGTAATATTTTAATTATTAATGGCTTATAAACATTATGAAACTAAATGTAATTAATATTTATTTTATTGAAGGGCATACACAGAATATTAAATACTATGCATTTATTTTAATACTACTTTTTGTATATACAGAATATTCTGTTTCCACAAAACAAACATATTTTTACGCTTCACTTACAGTCACAACAATAGACAATACACAGAACTTTGCATACCAGTGCACATCTACTGTATTTAGAGCACAGGTATGCCAATACACATCAGACTATTGTATATTAGTAGAACAATAGCCAACAAATCACCACAATGGCATTTTTACTAGAAAGTGAAAAAAGTTTCAGACTCACCAAGCTATTTCTGATATTCATACACAGTCTCATCACACTGTCCTTGATTATTTACGTGCTCTACTACATGATATTATACGTGACCCAATCTCCCAGCGACCCCGACTACGAGGACACCCAAACCGAGTACCATCTAATGATTGTGTTCACCATGATGAGCGCAGCATTTGAAGTGTTTGGCTTGTTTGCCATTTACAGGCAGAATAAATGTTTTGTGATCATGTTCATCTTGATGTCCGTGTTGTTGGTCATCATTAATACGTTAAAACGCGGTTTTGGTTATGGTTTGTTTGGCGTCATTCTCACGTTTATCACCGGTTATTACGCTTATATGTGCGATAGGGTTAAGCGTATACAGCCTACCGGTGTTAATCGGTTAGCTGTTTAATTTTGCAATAGAATATGTACATGATATGCTAATGTATATCATTATTACGTATTGTAACAAAATATTGTGTTAATGTAAATAATTGTTAACAAATGTAGCATAGTAATTTAAATAATTATTTATTTTAATTAATAAATATTACAAATGTTACCTATTATACAGTACAATACTAATTTTTTGTTTTTAATACAGTCACTTAATTGTTATTTATAAATTATTATAAATAAAATGTAAAATAGTTAATTGCATAAAAATTAAAAAGATTTTAAAATAAAATATTGCAAAAGTTGGTGAGGTTTTAATTTTGCCTAACTCATAAACTATCAAATGTATTTTATTTATTTGAAGAATTATATTTTGTAATATACATGTATGTAAATATAAGTGAAGAACTTGCTTGGTGATAGCAAATAAAATCAAAAACAGTATTTTAATTAAAATAATAATACAGATCATTCTATCTATTTAATAAATAAAACAAATATTTTAAAATTATTAAATTCTTACATAATTTCTCTTATATTTATGTAAATAAATAATATTATTAAATATAATTTCATTAACAAAATATATTATTAATTTCATATTACAAAAAGAACATTTATTATAATACAAACACAATAATACATATATTTAAATGTCATATTTATGATAAATTATTTTAAAAATAAATCAATGTAAAAAATGTTTCATAGTGACTATTTAGTAAAGACAAATTATACAATTATAACTTTATATAATCAAAGGCAAAATCCAACACGGCAAGCGCTGACAAGCCAACCCACATGCCCAGTAACCCACCAAACGTGCCAATAAACTGGACAAAACTGATCTCGGGTATGTGCTCGGTAATTTGATGTGGCATCTGATTGTGTGCCAAACGAATGTGGGTTTGCTTAGTCCAGGGCGAGTCACTTTCAATCGTATCGCTGGCCTTAACGTTATAGTTATAGTACCTATTAGTGCACTCTTGAGGGCACTTGAGTTCGCACTCATTGTTCAAACGGGACGAGTGCCTCCGGTAGCACACCATCCGGTCTACCAAGCGCTCGTAGATATTATTGGTAAGGGCGGCCTTAACTATACCAGGGTCAAACTCGCCGCAAATACGATCATTGGCCAAGGGAGCACCCGGTGCCACGAGGTCCCTACGCCACAGACTATCCGACCGGTACAGGCATAGTCTCGTGGCGTTGTGTTGGTGTAGGGTTTGAAGAGGTGATTGTTTATCGTTGTCGCAAGTGTTGACCAGACGGTTGTAGAGGCACTGATTAACGCAGTCGGCCCGGAGCTGATAGTCGCCGGGTTGTGTGCTAGTGATGTCGTACTCATGACATTTGGTGTCATACCCGGGCGGCAATAGTATGGTTTTCCACCGGTTGTACGTCATTTCGTACCATTTGCCCGGTTTTAAGCGCATAAAATTGTTTGAATTCATTTGTTGTGGTATTATGTTTGGCGAGTGTATGGACAGGTATATATGCGCCGACCCATCGTACAAGCTAGGTGGAAACCAGGACTCGTGCTGATAGATGTTTATGTGCATCACGCGTAACTCTATCGGTTGTATTTAGTATAAAATTTTTATAAATTAACAAATTAAACAAATAAAGAAAACAATGTCAAACATCATACCGATCTGGTATTCCCTCCATTTAGGTTTCATTTGACTAAAAAATGTGAAACACTTGAACCCTTGCCGGCCGTCGGGCAACACAATCGACTCAATGGGGTCCGTGTCTGTTATTTCGATCACATTAAGTGTCATATTTTTATGAAACAGCCTGATCCCTTTCACGCGTATATCAATAGCAAACTCTGTCACTTTCTCTTTATTGAATACGCTTGATTTCTTTTCACCATAATGATAAGGTATGCTCAGGTCAAACAAATCACGCAGCCGATGATTCTCTTTGATGAACCCTGATACATTGTTATCGTACAAACCATTTAGGTAGGAAACTGTTGTGCTGTTCTCATAATTAATGTCACCTCGAGCGATAATCCTCATTTTGTTTAGATAACTTTTGTACTGTTGACCATACGTGTGAGCATATGTTTTAGCCAACCGTTTCATAGATAGTAGTCGTGGGTAGCATACGGTGACCGAGGGTATTTTATTGTATTTGATCTGTTCGACCTTGATGTTGACCAGAGTCTGGCCGCTCATATACTGGGTGGTGAGATCTATGACCTGGTAAATCATGACCGCCGAGCAGATCACTATTATGCACAGCATTACTATTGTTTTAATCCGGGCCTTTTTGCTTATGGACTGTTTTAAGGTTTTCATTACATGGGTCTTATTGTGTCTTCTTTTGCTATTCATTTCAATGTTGTCGCCAATTAGCCTTAATGCTGTGTTATTGTCCTTGATTATTTAATAAACAATATACAGTAGTTGCAATGCAGAAATAAATGAAACACTTAAACCATGCTTACTTCAATGTTATCATAATCATCATTATATTGTATTAAATGGATTTCAATGAGCGCCTCCAAGTGTTCAATACGGCGGTGCTGTTCGGCATTCACTGCCCGGAGTTCAGCCAAATGCTGTCCATTTTGGCCCACCGTTTGCTTTAGCTCTTCATTGTCTTTAAGTACATTATGTAGAGTTTTGTTGATCTCTTCCAAATCCATTGATTAAGGTATTTGTAAAACAAATTAAATTAAATAACATGTAACCATTATAAATATTTAACATTGTATTTAATAAAAATAACCTTTTTAGTTTATCTTATATAATATGAGTCATATTACGAGATACTAACATAATAAAAGTTATGATTCTATTATTATAGTTTTTATTTTTAAGATAAAAATTAGATAATGTGATTATTACTATGTTGGTTAATTTTGTGTTACAATAATTAATTTTTTTGCTATTTAATAAAATACGTACAGTTCCATCTATTATAAAATAAATGATTTTAATCTTATTTATAAATCAATAATACTTTTTAACCAAACATGTAACAATTCATCTTATTATACAATTTATAGTTCATTTATATAAACTTTATTTTATTTAATAGTTATGAATTAATTTCTATTTGCTTTTACATAAAGTGTTTAACTAAAAAATTTAATTTTATACTTAAGGACGGAAATATCTGGGGTGGAAATTGCCAACCCTATTGATATTAGTATTAAAATGTGCAGAATTGTTGCCAGATGTTTAATAAATTGTCAAAATCGGCGAATGGCCAGAGACGTTGGCGTACTGGTCAAT